ATTTTGTTTAGCACTTCACTCATGTGTCCTTGGCTATACCGTTTAAATGCTCGACTTCTTGAGACCGCCTCTCACTTGTTCGAACCAAATCTCTCTTCTCAGCCTCCAGTTCTTCCTTTTCTCTAGTTAAATGGCTCTGAAAAAAATGGCAACAAATTCCTGTCATCTTGGGGTATGCAACTCAAACAAATGCAGCTTAATGTACCCCTTTCTTCTAGTGCCCAACAGCCAACACATTTCAATTAACGTGTCTTTTTTTCCCCCGAAATAACTCTGATAAAATGCTAAGTTGGCCCTTTGTGCCAAAATCTGAAATGCCCCGTGAGACCCGGCAGCAGGAAAAGTGCGTCACAGCTTTCAGGACCAGCATACTGGGCAAGTGGCTTTCATGCCTTTACTTTTCAGCTGGCACAGAGAGCTCCAGACTGCCACAAGGCTCCCTCTGGTTCTAGCTGTACTTGAACAAAGATCAGAATGAAAACTGTTGAACTTGAAGCAGCTGAAATGAACTGAAGAACTACGAGAAATCCCAACCAAGGAACAGGAGCTGTTTAAAACTGCAGCCAGTTTGATATTCTATGGAAGACAGTTTTCATAGCTCAGCCTTTGCTGAAACAGTTTTATTTGGTTAAATTAAAAAGACAGCAGAGCAACCATGGCATTGAGACATGCAAAACATCAGTAGCAAAATCAAATCCAAGTCACCAGTCTGGGACCCTTTCCAGACTACAGCGTGGCCTCTGCCTTCCAAGGTGTCACTGCAACCCACCTCAGTCAGGGCCAGAGAAGCCACTCTGGGGAAACAGACAGATCCAGCTTCTCATTGTGGACAAACCCATCTAATAATAATGGTTTGGTGACTGAAGTGACTCATCTTGCAACCCCCTGACTCTAGAGCACAATGCAAGGAAAACTGTGCCAGTGTGTGGCAAAGGAAGGAGGAAAAACAGAACTCCACTTTACACCTTTGTCCCACTGTTGAGGTTTGCCTTCAAGTCACTTCAGAACAGGTTTCAGCTGGGATGAAACAATGTATCCAAACTGAAAGAAAAACACCCACTCTGACCTATGTTCACCTGTAATTCAGTTTGCTGAACACCAGCATTTACTTCACAATTCCCCTGTACACAGTCAAGCAGGCATATGAACATGTATGTGGGTACATCTTTGTGCTGACCCTGATACTACCCAGTCTGGAAAGGGACTGCAGGCTTGGCTGCAGTGGGACAGGTGAACACAAGTCCTCCAGTTTATCACCCAGTCCTCCCAGTACCTGAATGGCTGCATTACGATCCTGAGCAGCCTCGAGTTCTTTATTTTTCTCATTCAGTGACTTCAGCTGTTCATCTGTTGGGTAAGAAACAGTAGTGAGGGATTTTCACTGTCATGTGGCAGAATTTTCTCTATAAATGCAGTTAAACCAACGTTTCCCTTAACAACATAAAAGAGAGACAGAATTCAAGACTTCACCATGGATGGACTAGGTAGCATTGTGGCAAACTAATGCAATCCTTGGAGCAGATCAATACATAAGCTACTGTTTTGCTATTACTACAGAACCAGAAAACAGTGCTCTTTTTCTTTTAAAACAAAACTCCATGAAGAAAATCAGACTTGAAGGCACGAGCAACAGTCCTCCCCCCTTGCAAAAATAACAGACGTAGTTGACGGATGGATTTTCAACCACAGCTTGAAACTTCAAGCCTATCAGCATGAATTGGGCAACAGAATGAACACTGTCCAGTCTGAGGAATGTCCAGTTGTACTTACGGAGCTTCTTAAGCTCCTCACGGAGGCTCTGACACTCCCTTGTCTCATTCACAAGTCTCTCCTGGCTTTGAGCCAGACGCCTTTCCACTTCAAAGTACTGTTGCTCTGCAAAAGAACACAGTTCTCTCAATTCCACTTAATAAACACTTCTTGTTCTTCCTCACTTTTACCAAGGATCCTTATCGATGGTCAGCTTTATTAAGTAATGCTAATGGTAAAGAAAATACAAAAAAAAATGAAGAAGACTACAGTAGAATTTGGAGAAAACGTATTCTGGAAGGCAAAAAGATGCATTTCCACACTGCATTATCATTGTTTAAAATACTTCATTAGCATAGAAAGTGACATATGTCCTGACACAGGTAAAAAACATTGTATCAGCACCATTCTGCAGTGTGTTTGGACTTAGCCACATCAACCCCAAAATTCTTTCACATTACCATACACGTGCACTAACCTGCTCTGTGCTGCGTATCCCACAGCACTGAAAAAAATAATTAGATCTAGAAAATAATTAGATTCTGGTTATCCAAAATAGTAACTGTGTCACAAAGCTTAAATGGAAAACCCTGAGAAAAAGCAGAAGTAATTTCACTGACAGGCACAGCTTCTAAGGAAGTGCTGAAAGATTTTTAGTGATCTTATGTTTACAATTCTTACAATATTTTAACATTTCAAATAATGCTGCCCCTTCTAGTCACATATGAGAAGAGACCTGAAAGAGACTAACGTGTTACAATCTGTGGGTTACCTCAGTTTACACTTCATTCATTTCCCTTAGCAAGATTTTGATGACACAAGAGACAAAAGTGTTGCAGGAAAGGTGGAAGTAAAACTTACGAGAAGTACGTCACCTACCCAATAAACGAGCTCATATTCACCACCCTGCCCAGTGCTCACCCTCACCTACACTCTGCTCTCCTTTCTGCTCCAGCTCACTACTGGTATTATTTTTCTGTGATTGACTAACATGAGTATGAACACAAACAAGTTTATTCTACCCCATTCCCAGCCCAGAGCCAGCCCTCCTGCCTCAGAAGCCCCTTCCCT